TATTCCGGATTTTTTTAATGTCATTGATCTGTAATAACTGGCCGTCCCACTAAAGAGTTTGATCAATTTATTATCCCATAGCTCCTGAGGATTCCATCGATGGTGATTAATCCAGTTAGTGATCTATTAGAATTGCAGATCCTATTTATAGATATTCATTCAGTTCATAAACTACAGGAAATTGAGATCCTCTGATGAAGATGATTTCAATTATTGATCTAGAAGATGTGCCAATCATCCAGATGTGCATTAATTCAAATGTTCACTATTGTGAGTGTGTGAAATACCTGCTGAAAATCATTGCAGGTAATTATCTGTAGGTATTGCAGTAGAGCAGGTGGAGACTGTTTAAGATATTGATCAATGGGAATTGAAGCCTCCACCGATAGATATTATTCAACTTTTTGACCTGTTGGAATGGAAAATCCCTAATGGAAATTAATTATGCCATTGCATTGTGTACATTGTAAATGCCCCATTTAGTTTATTCCAGTTGTTTGGCTGTCGGACCAAGAGATCCCACAGCACAGGGACAGGCCCTTCAGCCCACAGTGTTGTGCCGGACATGTTGCCAAATGAAACTAATCCCTTCTGCCTGCCCTTGATCCATACCCCTCCATTCCTTGCATATCCAAGTGCTTAACTAAAAGCTCCTTAAACACCCCTATCATACCTGCCTCCACCGCCACCCCTGGCAGCACGTTCCACATTCCTACCACTCTCTGTTTAAAAAAACTTACCCCTCACATCTCCTTTCAACTTTCCCACTCTCATATTAACTACTGCACCCCCCCTCCCCGTATTAGACATTTCAACTCTGGGAAAAGATTCTGACCGTCAACCCTATCTATGCATCTCATAATTTTATAGACTTCTATCAAGTCTCCCATCACGATCCGTCACTCCAGAGAAAATAACCCGAGTTTTTCGAGCCCCTCCTTATAGTTCATACTCTCTAATCCAGGCAGCATCCTAGTAAACCCCTTCTGCACCCTCTCCAAAGCCCCCACATCCTTCCTGTAAAGTGGTGACCAGAATTGAACACAGTACTCTAAGTGTGGCCTAACCAAAGTCTTATAAAGCTGCAACATGACATCCTGACTCTTGGACTCAGTTCCCCAACCAATAAAGACAAGCATGCCATACACCTTCTTTACCACCCTATCCTGCAGGTATGGGTTTTTCTAACTATTGATCTATAGAAACTGTCATCCCTGAAACAAAAGTTTCTCATATTCATTGATAATGATGGATAATTTTCTGCTAATTGCCCCATCAGATTGGCTGGTATAGTCTGAGATCTTGGTGATATATCTGAAGCCGCTATTCCCACCTATTGCTCTCCCACCTGGAATTTACCAAAATGTTATTTGTCTCCTTTTCTATTCTCTGTATCCTTCCATCCTCACTCGAACCATTTACTGTCTCACCAGGGACTCAGCTCCCCTCCCTCTCTCATCTCTTTGTTGATTTTGTGCATAACTGGCTTGATGAAGATTGTTGCCCTGTCCCTAATTGCTCCTTTTAGCCATTTCAGAGGGCAGTTAAGAGTGAAGAACATTGCTGTGGGACTGGAGTTGCATGTAAGTCCATAGCCTTAAATGTTATGGCACGTCAAGTGCTCACCCAAGTGCTTTTGTTCAAGGTTGTGAGGTTACCCTCCCAGGCAGGCCATAACAGACCTCCCCCCAACAACCCTCTGGGTGAAAATGTCTCTCCTTAAATCTCCTATAAACCTTCTGCCTTTCACTTTAAAATTATTTCACCTTGTTACTGACCCCTTCAACTAAGCTCTCTATCCACTCTATCCACATTCCCCTCATAATGTTATCCACCTCTATCAGGTCCCCCCTCAGCTTTCTCTGCTCCAGAGAAAACAACCCCAGCTTTTCCAGCCTCTCTCCATCACTGAAATACTCCATCCCAGATAGCATCCTGGGGAATCTCCCTCTGCACCCCCTCAAGTGCAATCCCATCCTTCCTATAGTGTGGGGACCAGAACCACACACACTACTCCAGCTGTGGCCTCACCAACGTCCTGTACAGCTCCAACATCAGCTCCCTGCTCTTAGACTCTATGCCTTGACTGATAAAGGCAAGAGTCCTTTACTCTATGGGCCTGCCCGGCCACCTTCCGGAGTCTGAGGACAAACATCCCAAAATCCCTCTGTTCTTCTGAACTTTCTAGTGTCCTGCCATTCATTGAGTACAACCTTGTCTTGTTCCTGCTTCCAAAGTGCATCCCTCCCATTTATCAGGGTTAAACTCCATCTGCCACTGAACTGCCCATCTGACCAATCCGTTTGTATCCTCCTGCAGTCTAACAGCTTCCTCCTCACTGTCAACCACTCAGCCAATCTTTGCATCATCCACAAACTGAGTTACCATACCCGCCCCCCCACAATATTCTTATCTTCTTCATTTATATATCGCACTGGTCCCTGTGAGGCATCACTGTACACAGGGCTCCAGTCACATAAACAGCTTCCCCCACCACCTCTGCCACCTACGAAGCCAATTTGCAACCAACTTGACAAGTCACCCTGGATCCCATGTGTTTTTACCTTCTTTATCGGTCTCCCATGCAAGACCTTACCCAAGGCTTTGCTGAAATCCACACCAGGTCAGAGAACTGTACAGCATGGAAACAGATCCTTTGGTCCAACTCATCCATGCCGACCAGATATCCTAAATTAATCTAGTTCCATTTGCCAGCATTTGGCCCATATCCCTCTAAACCCTTCCTATTCATGTCCCCATCCAGATGCCTTTTAAATGTTGTAATTGTACCAGCCTCCACCACTTCCTCTGGCAGCTCATTCCATACACACACCACCCTCTGTGTGAAAAAGTTGCCCCTCAGGTCCCTTTTAAATCTTTCCCCTCTCACCTTAAACCTGTGCCCCTTTGGACTCCTACATCCGAGGATTAAACTACATTAAGTCCACTACCCTCACCTACACAGTCACATTCAGACTGGTATATAAAATTAACAAACACATTCTCACATGTACACATTCAGAAACAGAAAGGAATACAAAATACACACAGCAACATCATCAGGCTCGGTGACTGAATTCTGATGAAAGCATTCCCTTCATTTTACAATAAAGAAAGTTCTTCTGAAAGGGTGAGGACGAACAGAGAAAGGAGCAATACTTTATTCTGGGGTTGGGTGCTGCTGTTATTTACAAACAGGTTTCATTCGGTGGGCTGTGGCATCAGAATTACAGAAGTGAAACTCAGAATTCAGAAACTTGTTACTCATCAGCATTTTTGTTTGAAACCTTTCAACACAGAGAATGTGTATATAATCTGAGGAGTTGTACTTCCGTACATAAAAACCAGAGAGAGAGTTAAATAGGAACACAGGATTGTTTGGATACGGACAGTGTAGAGGAAGCTTTACTCTGTATCTAACCCAGTGCTGTCCCTGCCCTGGGAGTGTTTGATGAGGGACAGTGTAAAGGGAGTTTTACTCTGTATCTAACCCTGTGCTGTCCCTGCCCTGGGAGTGTTTGATGGGGGGACAGTGTAGAGGGAGATTTACTCTGTAACTAATCCCGCGCTGTCCCTGTCCTGGGAGTGTTTGGTGGGGGGGCAGTTGGGGGCTGGAGCCATTCACTCAGGGATACCAGGTGCTTCTCATCTGGTGACCTTCACCCCACCCCATGGTGTCCTTGACCCCACTCCATGGTGTCCCTGACCCTCACATAGTGTCTCTGACCCTACCCCATGGTGTCACTGACCCTACCCCTGGTGTCCATGACCCTCACATGGTGGCCCTGACCGCTCCCATGGTGTCCCTGACCCTACCCCTTGTGTCCCCGACATGGTGTTCCTGACCCCATCCCTAGTGGCCCTGACCCCTCCCATGGTGTCCCCGACTCTCCCCTGTGCCTCTGACCCCTCCCATGATGTCCCTGACCCCACCCATCATGCCCATGACCCCACCCATTCTGTCCCTGACCCCACCCATGATGTCTCTGACCCTACTCATCATGTCCTTGACCCTTCCCCTTCTCCTCAGCATCTGACCCCTCCCACAGTGTTCCTGACCCCTCCCATGGTCTCCCTGACCCCACCCCTATTCCCCAGACCGCTCCCCTGTGCCTCTGACCCCTCCCATGGTGTCCCTGACCCCGCATGGTCTCCCTGACCCCACCCCTATTCCCCAGACTGCTCCCCTGTGCCTCTGACCCCTCCCATAGAGTCCCTGACCCCTCCATGGTGTCCCTGACCCCTTCCATGATGTCCCTGACCGTGACCCTGACCCCTCCCATGGTGTCCCTGAACCCTCCCATGGTCTCCCTGACCCAACCCTTATACCCCCAACCCCTCCCATGGTTCCCTGACCCCTCGCCTATTCCCCCTTACCCCTCCCATGGTCTCCCTGACCCAACCCTTATACTCCAGACCCCTCCCCGTGCCTCTGACCCCTCCCATGCTGACCCCTGGTGTTTGTCCCCAACTGGCCATTGATCACCCAATTCTCCACCCTGACCTGGTGTCAGCCCTACAGCCAGCATCAGTCAGTTAAAATCGAAGAAGGGAGATGATGAATACATGAGGCACACAGTGACTGAGGCTGGATGGGGAAGATGTATAAAAAGGCATGACTGTACACGGGCAGTGGAGATTGTTTACAGAACCTGTTACAGAATGACCAGCAACTGTACATTCCATAAAACTGCAAAAACCCCACAGCAAATTCATCAACTGTGGCTATGAAACTACTGTGTAAAATGAAAGGGAAAGGTTTTAGGGTGTCCGACCCAGAGCCAGGGACAGTCCCATTGCACTACAGAAGGGTGTAGTGCCACCTGCTCCAGTATGTGGGTCCTTACATGTCCAAACAACTTGATGGAGACATCTGTAGGGAAATTTTTACTGACCAGAGGCAGCAATTAACCTGAAGAGGGGAGGATTTTTTAGAATAAAGGAGTGATGAGGATTGCAGAGCCAATGATCTGATTCCCACTTTCTTCTTGTCCCTTCAGGAAGCTCTCTCCATAGTCAGTGAAGATCAAGTCCTGTACGAGTCGTCCTACGCTGCCTCTCAGCTGCTGAAGACTGAGATTGCTTCGGGCGATTTCACTCAGACTGGGAAAGGGAGCCCAGAGATGGCTGAACAGGACTGGAACTGTCAAAGTGGCCGAGTGATGGTCAAGCGAGAGGTTGAGCAAGTAAATGGTACAAGGTACAGGACATTAACAAACAGTCAGTACGCAAACCATTCGACTGATCTTCCTCCTGTGTCAGCCTGTATATTCCCGGTCTCCTTGTCCTTCAGTCAGATCCATGCTCAGTTCCTGTCTCCGTATCCCTCAGTTAGACCCACACTCGGAGCACTATGCTCAGTTCCTGTCTCCGTATCCCTCAGTTAGACCCACGCTCGGAGCACCGTGCACAGTTCCAGTGTCCGTATCCCTCAGTTAGACTCACACTCGGAGCACTGTGCACAGTTCCAGTCTCCCTATCCCTCAGTTAGACCCACACTGGGAGCACTGTGCACAGTTCCTGTCTCCGTATCCCTCAGTTAGACCCACACTCGGAGCACCGTGCACAGTTCCAGTCTCCCTATCCCTCAGTTAGACCCACACTCGGAGCACTGTGCACAGTTCCAGTCTCCCTATCCCTCAGTTAGACCCACACTCGGAGCACTATGCTCAGTTCCGGTCTCCGTATCCCTCAGTTAGACCCACACTCGGAGCACTATGCTCAGTTCCGGTCTCCGTATCCCTCAGTTAGACCCACACTCGGAGCACCGTGCACAGTTCCAGTCTCCGTATCCCTCAGTTAGACCCGCACTCGGAGCACCGTGCACAGTTCCAGTCTCCGTATACCTCAGTTAGACCCACACTCGGAGCACCGTGCACAGTTCCAGTCTCCGTATCCCTCAGTTAGACCCACACTCGGACCACCATGCACAGTTCCAGTGTCTGTATTATTTAAAGGATACAGAGGCACTGGGATAGTAAAAAACTGATTGACAAAGGATTTTTCCAGAACTGAGAGGAAATAACCATCAAGAGCAACTGAGCAGTCTGGACTGTTTTCTCTCGAAAAGGGGAAGGTGAGGGGTGACCTAATCAAAGTCTTTAAAATTCATAGAATCATAAAATTCTGAGAGGGGTCTCAATCAGGCAGATATAGAGAAGGTGTTTCCATCTCTGAGGGTTCAGGAGACCAGAATAAGGGGCCTTTGGTAGAGGACAGCCTCTAAAAAAATCCAAAGTGGAATTCAGGAAGAGATGGACTGAGGAAAGTTAAACGTTTAATCGCACTGAGATCTGGTTCAATGGTCATTGGTCACTGAGAGAAGCAATGGTTTACCTTGATCTCACGTTTGTGTTGTCCCAGCAGAGAGTCACCAGTAGACTGCAGTGTTGTAAGACGGAATAAGTTAATGAGTGGTGCTGACACATCGCAATCAGCGTATCCTGCCAGTTACAGTGAACAGCGAGACAGCCCATCGAACAACGAGAAAAGGGTTATCGTTCCTGCTGGTAAGATTGGAGGCTGGAAAAACCAGAGCAAAGGGCTTTCCAATAGAACCTCACATTCTCTCTCTCACACACACACAAACTGACACACACACACACACACACACATACACACACCCTCTCTCTCACACACACACACACACATACACACACACCCTCTCTCTCACACACACTCACACACCCTCTCTCTCACACACACACACACCCTCTCTCTCACACACACACACACACACACACACACACACACACACACACAGACCCCACTCCACACTCACTGAAAAACGCAGTGTGTGCTGACACACAGATTGGAAAAGGGTGATTTTGAAACACTGCCTCCTGGTGCTGCCTTGTGATATTCCTGGTGGGATCTTCCTGCTCCTATTGACATTTCAGGGAGGGAGGGTTTAGTTGTAGGATCGGATCATTCCGGTCTCAGTGCCCGGCACATTCCAAAGAAACGTGCAGTTTTCTGTGAGGGTGTGACATCTGTTCCAGGGATGTCCCAATCAACCATGGACTGTGTCAAGACCCAACTGCCTCCTGACTACCATCTCTGTATCAATCATTCCAATTCCTCGCTACATTTCTCCCAATACATCTCCCCCTCCCCGCCTTTCACTACCTCCCACCGATTGCTCCAGCCACTATCCTGGCTGCCCTCCCTCTGGGTTGGTGTGTGTTTGGGGTCTGGGGGGGGACAGGTGTGATCGATCCCATTGCCTGTTGGGTGGAGAGGTGGGTGAGTGAGGCTCGAACTGGGAGCTCAGGAGCTGCTGTTGGGGTTCTTGCCCATTCTCTGTCTTTCCTTTGTGCATAGACCCATGTGTATGGAGCCAGGAACACGTACGGCAATGGCTTGACTGGGCAGTAAAGGAGTATACTCTCTCCGATATCGACAGCCATCTCTTCCAGAACATCGATGGTAAAGAGCTCTGCAAGATGACCAAGGAAGACATGATGCGTCTCACCACCACCTACAACACAGAGATTTTACTCTCTCACCTCAACTATCTCAGAGAAAGTGAGTGTCACCAGGCAACCGGCAGGTTGGGCTAACAGAGAGCTGGGCGTCTGACATAACTGGGATCAATGGGTATTGGGGGGAAAATGCTCCAGTGGTTGGAGTCATGCTGGCACAATGGAAGATGGTTGTGATTGTTGGAAGTCAATCATCTCAGCCCAGGACATCTCTGCAGAGTCCCACAGGGTAGTGTCCTAGGCCCAACCATCTTCAGCTGCTTCATCAATGACCTTCCCTCCATCCTAAGGTCAGAAGTGGGGATGATCGCCGATGATTGCATAATGTTCAGCTCCATTCACAACTCCTCAGATATGAAGCAGTCTGTGTTCGCATGCAACAAGATCTGGACAATATCCAGACAAGTGGAAAGTGACATTTGCGCCACACAAATGCCAGGCTGTGCCCATCACCAATAAGAGACAATCTAACCATCGCCCCTTGACATTCAATGGTGTTACCATCACTGAATCCCCCACTATCAACATCCTGGGGGTTACCATTGACCAGAAACTCAACTGGACCCACCACATTAACACAGCGGCTATAAGAGCAGGTCAGAGGCTGGGAATCCTGCAGCGAGTAACTCCCCTCCTGACTCCCCCCAAAGCCTGTCCCACCATCGACAAGGCACAAGTCAGGAATGTGATGGAATACTCCCCACTTGCCCTGGATGGGGGCAGCTCCAACAACACTCGAGAAGCTCGACACCATCCAGGACAAAGCAGCCCCCGCTCGACGGCCCCACATCCACAAACATCCCACTCCCTCCCCCACCGACGCTCAGTCGCAGCAGTGTGTACCATCTACAAGATGCACTGCAGAAACTCACCAAGGCCCCTCAGGCAGCACCTTCCAAACCCACGGCCACTTCCATCCGGAAGGTCAAGGGGCAGCAGATACATGGGAACACCATCCCCTGCAAGTTCCCCTCCGAGCCCCTCCCCATCCTGACTTGGGAAATATATCGACCGTTCCTTCAGTGTCGCTGGGTCAGAATCTTGGAATTCCCTCCCCAGGAGATATTGTGAGTCAACCCTTCAGCACATGGGCTGCAGTGGTTGAAGAAGGCAGCTCACCCTCACCTTCTCAAGGGGGCAACTAGGGACGGTGCAATAAATGCTGGGCCCAGGCAGCGATGCCTGCGTCCTGAGAATCTATCAGAAAGTTTCAGAGCAGGGGATGTGGGAGATGTTTCCAGTGACAGGGATAATTTGAAGCTTCCTGACTGTGTTGATGTGTGTGTGAGATGGAATCACTGGTGTCAGTAATAATTCTGCTGTGTGATTGCAGATAGCCCGACCTTCAGTTATCCCAACTCCAACCCTCACAGTCAACAGGCTGCACGCCCTCCAGTCAAAACAGGTACGTGCGGTGCCCTGTGGGGGGGGGGGAGCATCGGGGCAGGGGGTAAGTGTGG